TCACTCACCGTTACTCAACAAACTACTTACTGAGAGCGGGTCGATGTTCGTGTTTAACATTATTGACAGTTCTTATGGCAGGTATGATCTCGGTTATGACGAATACGGTGTTCGACGCAAGAGTGTGACGTCACTTACGTATACACTAGAAAGTAGGATGCAATATGTGTACATAATTATTAACATAAGTATTGGCATGAAGCATGCTCGTATTCCATCGTGGTCCGTCAATATAGAGCTCTTGTTGTGTTATAAGGTTCTAAGATGTCCAGAGGGTTCCATGATAATAGTAGTGTGTGTCAATAATAGTGTGTGTGAGAGAGAGAGAGAGAGAGAGAGAGAGAGAGAGAGAGAGAGAGAGAGAGAGAGAGAGAGAGAGAGAGAGAGAGAGAAGAGCTAGGGTTATAGAATGTCTGACATGGTACTGAATTATACATAATAATACTAATAACGGCTTTTGACTGTATAAACCGGCACAAATGATTTTGATATGAAATGTGGGCGAGATTAAAAGATACACACAGGACTGGAAAGGTTGTATATGTCATTATCAAAGGATAAACACAGAATTGTAGGGTATAATGTGCGACAACATTATAAGATACACACGGGAGTGTAAGGGTTATTATGTGCCATTTTCATATGATAAACACATTTTTCAGCGGGTATAATATTAATATCCTCCATAAGTGGAAACATTTAATATGTTTGTCAATACGAAACGTACGTTGGGGATGACAAAGGTTATGTACGTCAATGTTAAACGATACACACAGAATCGATAGCAAAATAATACCCTACCTGAAGTGAACTAAACTGCAAGTCATTGTTTATCTTTTGTGGGGGCGTTGCCTAAAATGAGATATCATTATTTTGCAAAACATTGCTAATTTCCTAACCGTCCCTAGCTGAGTGACAAGGCTGGTTCATTTTGTGCATATTCGGGCTTAACAGACTTACTGTTTGTCAGTATTTACCATCATTAACAGGATTCGGGTGCCACATGTGTTCATACGTAATGTTATACATGTGATTGTGACACGTATAATTAGTGGCAATAACAAGCGTTGTACACAGGGTAGGGGGCACAATCTAGGGCACCCGATAATCGATGAGCTAATCACAGGTCTGGCACATATGTACAATTAGTAACTGTGACGCTTGTGAGCCAGTCACACCTGTTGTGATTACATCCAGGTATTACTTCATCTTTGTCTCAGCTTGTGCCCAGGTGCACATTAAGCAGCTAATGATGAAAGAGGTAATGACAATAGTAAAACGAAAATTTGAAATCTACATCACACATGTGGATTACACAATAATATTTCATATTTCGAAGCAAATTAATTCTCTAAAAGCCAGGTATAGATTAATTTACGAAATATTCAAGACCATAACACGAGTCACATAATCATCACATCACACATTTGATCATTATGAAAATATAATAGAAATATTTGGCTTCAGGGTATAATTGTGAAATCGACACCTATCCAAAGGCACAGTATTTCTACTCTAAAAGAGAAGAGTATTCGAGCATCCTGGTCACTGTGTTTTCCATCGGTACCTCTTTTGAAGGAAAACCAAGTTCTATGGATAGTCAACTGATCACTTGCTTGATAACGGTGTTAGTACCTACACCGAAACGTCGCACTCATTGCAATAAAGAAGTTGACTATCCACAGAACTTGGTTTCCTTCATCTTCACAACTTCTAAAATGCCTCTCAAAGAAGGTACCTCTTTTGCCTGAATAATCCCATATTTCGTTTTGTGCGCAATTTAAAATGTCATCCTTTATTTCGCGCTACACTTATTATTCCAGCCTAGTTTCGGCTTTTACGTGTTATCAAATCTTTCATTCATTCATTTATCTCATATTTACTGTACAACTATTCATAGCGTACCTGTATACTATGTAAGCCTGTACACTTTTTAACACATCTAAAACGTCTATAGCTTCATGATTTCAGGGTCTGCATGTTCCTAGATCTAGTATTTCTGCATTACTACACACACTGTATATTTGAACATAGTAAATATAGTCATTATGACCACATGAGATATGAGATCTCAATTTAATCAAGTGAGTTTGTTCAAAATTGCCTGTGTTCATTCAGCAGAAAATGGGTACCCGGTGGGATAAGTCATGTAACCATTAACCTCCTAGCGCCTCACAGGCAGCCTGGATTATCTGGGGTAATAATAATCAGGTTGTTGGGCGCTTCGAGGATGCCTTATGCGTGGAGAAATGTGCATGATAAACAGACTATTATTATTTTACTCTACATAGTACTTGTACACACTTCATATCTGCATACGTCTCATATGTAAATACATTATATAATCCCCATTGTGAGAAGTTCGCGTCGTGCACCTCCACTTCTCATAGTAATGTTATAATTTTATAAACACATGAATATAGTTTATATACCCTTACATCTTCCATTTCCATCTTCATGTATAACATCTGAGTTCATACAGCTCTCCACATTAATGTAACATGTACACACATAACCAATCGCCACTTTAATATGTGTGCCTTACATTTCCATACATCTCAAATGTCCATTATGTGATCCCGATGGCTTATATGTCCTTGTATTTCAGCAATAACCTACATACCCACGTTACAGTCTAATACAATTCTAATACAATTCTAATCAATTCACCTTAGATTTGTATATGTACGCACACATATTCAATGCTAAGGATCGGTTTTATATTGTATTTAAGTATTACCGTAACTATAAAATATTTTATATGGCCATAGAGAGTACATTTAAATCAATATTCAACGAATTCCTCTATATGGTGAGGTAGAAATATTCAACACTAGCTTGTAGTGAGTATGTTTAGTCAGATAGGCTGCCAATTAATGGTATTACGGTCCTAACTAGAAACGATTAATTTATTTTCCCATGGAAGACGATGTACAGTCTACAGAGTATTGAATCAGGTTGATAAAAATAATTTCAAAGACTTATCGACTGAATAATAAATACAACAAATACCTCAACTCCTCCTCATTGTTTTATCACATAAATGTTTAATTGTTTAAACTTGCAAGACCCGGAAGCCGACAAACGTATCGACTGTTTTGAACTCACTGACTCAATACAAATGGGGTTTTGAAATTATTTGTCAACAAAAGAATACCCTTATATCCATCAACGACATGCTAGTTGGACGACTCCATCGCGTACCCCGTGAACTACAGAGGCTCGGCTCAAATTATACTTGGGCTCACATCGATTTCACTCTACCTCGAGAACGGCGAGTCCTTTGTGTGGCTCTGTCACTAATGATTGACATCTGGCGAGACTTAGAGTCCACGAAGGACTCATTAGGCAATTGACATGGCAAACCGCTAATAAGACCATGGGTTAAGTAATAGGTGATAAAGGATTGAATTAGGGGATGTATGTATGAAATATGCATTGGGTGTTTGTGCAGGGGGTATTTTAACTCTCGAACGATAACAATGTATAAGTCTGTCACCCACACCACCTGCTACAGCAATGTATACTGTACCAATTGGGAAACCCCTATATATAGTAACATGCGCTGTAACATAAGCCATTTATTACTAAATTATTACTCCCCGAAGAATAAATGATTCAATATTTATTAAAAATTGATAAATTTTATTCTAGTTTGGGGATAAACACTATATTTATCGTCACATTTGTCAGCCTACCCGACTCATCGATGTAAACACTGATAAGAATACATCCTTTTCGTTCTATAAGGATTTTCCTTGTGAACGTTATGCCTAATAATGACGACAAACATGTTCACTGCTGTCCTCCATATTACCCAAATCTCCACTACTTAAGAGTTTTAGAAGCCTATCTATACCATCCTACAAAGGTCCATTTACTCTACGTTCGTCCAACATTCTTAACTCTCGGATGAAAAGGGATCCGTTTACGTAAGATATAACTGTGTATGTATAATATATTCTTTGTGTAAACACTTGGCCAGTTTAATATTGAAATGAATTTGTTTTGAATAAATTGGTGAGAACAAAACAAAAATGTTAGAAACTTAAGTAAAGAAAAATAACACGACTGCATCTACCACTGTGGACAACACTGACTGGCAAGGTTGACATGTTGATGGTGTTTTTCTTGTTTTCGCAAGTTGTTGTTTAATCAAACTCAAAGCCATGTCGACGTACTTATCAACGCCCATTATCAACGAGTGAGTGAACATGCGGATACCAGTATACCAGTATACCAGGATACTGTTATCTGATATCCGGAACGTTGTGACTGTCATCCGAGGGTATTGTTCGTTTGTTGCTAACCGGATAAAGTTATACTGTGGCTGATCCAATGTGATTGCGGTCAGTCAAGGACATTATATAAACAAATCCAAACTGTCGTCATTGGCTATATTTCCTATCCAAGAAGATAACAAATTATGTTTCCGTGTTACATCTTGTCCACAATAAATGTATACGATAGAATCATATTTCAAAAGTAGTTCCAGTGCGTCTAAGGTCTCCTTAAGTTACCAACTCGTGTGCTGATGTTAACAGCTTCGTTGTCAACAAAACTGAAAGCGAGGGACCAAGAAGCGGAGCTTTGTTATCCGATCAGGCGGTAACACGCAGTGACAGACATAACAGTGACGACCCTGCTGCCGCAACATCGGGGAGTACAACTCTCTAGCAAAAATCAATTACTCGTTAGTTTAGGATTATTTGAAAACATGGGTCCAGGCAGACAGCTGTTGTGTGACGGGCCAAATAAACTACCAACAACGCATTGTGAATTGTTAAAACAAGATCGAAGCATACCTATCAATAACGTTACTGACACAACAATAGCTCTCGTCACCATGGCCCTTGCTTCCCGCGCCATTTTGCCATGGCAGATACAGTTTGCCGCAGTGCTAACTGTCGCATTGCAGGTGCCTGCGAGCCAATCACAAGCGTCGTTACAAAGATTTAACGTTAACAACACTCGCGCCCGACTCCAACCGAATGACCGAAATGTGAAGCCTATGTTAATTGACACGAAGTAGTTCCTCGATACAGATTCGTCATTTAGCCGTCTGAAGCCAGTGTTTGCCACAGTTCTTCAGAAACCGAAAGTTTTATTCACATAAGTTCAGATTCTTGCAGCATATTCTATATTTTGACCAGTTTTTGAAGCTGCTCTCACCAAGGCGCAGGAATAGAAGGAAAGCATCGTCTACTCGCCCAGTGTCGGAAGAACGGATAGAGACTTTAGTACCGCATTAGATTTGCTATCTGTTTAATCGGCAATGGTAAGTGCATTTTTTCATGGCATCAATGGTCAAAACTGACTTTTTCCTCAAGTACAATGATTAAACTTAACGATTATACGTTTATTTTCTTTCATGTTCATCGGCATGAGATCTTGGCGCGTTGTAACTGTCATGTCGGCAAAATGCGGAAGAATGTTTAATAGTAGACTTGGCTTTCAGTGAAAAGGGCTAATAATAAGGAATATTTACTGTTGAAAAATGTTTATTCATGCATTTCAGTGATATATATAAGGTCTTGGTATTTTGTGTATTTGATATATGTTATTGTTCATTAAGCGGAATCACGCTGTCGACCATTTTGATGTATCAATAACTGGGTTACATCGCTCTATTAAGGTTTAACCTGGTAAACGTGTTCCTGATGATAAACAGCATGCTGTAAACTAAATGACCAACGCATACGAATATACCTTGGTGGTTTTTGATATATGAACTATTTGTAATTTATGTCAAATCGTATTAGAAGTACTAAGCACCACCATTAGGTCACCGATACTCTTCTAAACAGAATCGCCACTGCCAAATTTGAAAATTGTGAACAACAAGTATAACGTCTTTTAAAATATTTATGTGATAGTTCTCCAAAGTCAGCGTTTTAACAATTAAAAACGTAGGAACCAATTTTACGGTAGTTGCCGCCAATGGAACTATAGCCAGATGATAACTTACACGTACCATTACTTAGCGAGCTCTTTGGGGTCCAGCAAGGGCGTTAGTTGATGACTCAGTATGTTGAAAAGATTAAATATTCCTGAGTAAGAGTAACTGGTGACACAACAACAGGTCAATGCTCCATTTCTTCAACATGTGTCGTTGTTGGGCGTGGTCTGCTTTAAGGAACCAATACCAATATTCCACAGTAATTTCCTGTTCCACAAAAAGTCTAGGAACAATAAAAAAAATCGTCTTCTACTTGATCTGAATTCAGTTTATTTTTGTTCACTTTATTTGGATATTGTGATTAACATTGGCTCATTTTGATGTATGAGACACTGGTAAAATTGCATGTGCCAGTTTGATATATTTTTAGGATAATGTTTATTCAATGTTGTACACAATGGACAAGATTTGTTGACATTTTGCTACAATTTATAGCATTCCAAAGCTAGCAGGCCTCACCATTTGGTGTGCTGTACAACCAATAGACCAGTGTGGGTTGACATGTTGCCATGGTAACGTGTTCTTCCTTCCTGTTTAGAGGGTATTTCCATGTGTCTAGTTATAGTGGTTGGTGTTAGAGAGGAACGGAAATACCTCACTTGTGAGGGTTAGTGGCTTGTATGTTTCACCACAACACTGTCACATACTTCATGTGATGACAAGAAGGAAATCAATTTCAGTGTGGTGACTCCTTAAAATGTCTTGAGAGATTAACATTGCCAGCATATTTATAAATAAATATTTATGGTTTCATTTGGAAAATGTTGCTGTATCATTTAAAAGACTCATGAAGGAAATTGAATAAATAATATGATTGTATGTGCTTCAAACATTTTCATTTAAATAAAGGGGTTCAAAAATCCCATCGCCAGACGCCCAGGACAAGTCAGTTTTCATTTCGGGCAATCAAATAATGGTATCTTACTTGTCTATGGGCTACTAGATAATTTCCACTTATGGTTTCAAACTACAAATAAACTTGGATTTAATTTCATATCTGCTCAAAATGTGGCTATTAATTTTCACAATGATCATAAAGTAGAGTTATCTTTCTTTGCTATTTATCACTTTTCAATAAATAGTCCAGTAAACATTAACATCAAATACCATGTTGATTTATTTTTTATAATTACATCATCATGATTATTTCATAAAATCAGGGCAAGTGGAAAATTAGTCAGGACAAGTTACTTTCTTAAAGTGACTTTTTATACAAAATTTGAACCCCTCTGATAGGATTCACAAACTGTCGAATCTTGATAATATATTTAGTTCTCCTCGATTTATACTAATTTATCTACCTACTAGTATTTGGTTGTTGGTAACTTAATAGGATACTATATCTCTAAAATTAGTTTCTGCAAAACCACGTTTGTACTTGAAAAAAAACTTGACCTGTTCTTGAGTGGAGAATCGCTGGAGCATAACTCGATAGCTTTAGAGATATCTGAGGGAGATATCATGGGGATTTAGTTACAGAGCTTCTTGCCAAGAATTGTAAGAGAGTAGTTCAAGCTATGACATGAACGGTCCTATCTGTTCAGTCAGAAACCTACACTTATATTCTATAAACCCCTTGTGGAGTATTGGTTGAATCATGTTACACACTATCATCATCATTATCAATGTTTACAGATTAATATTTTCTTTATGTTATTATTTTGCAACATCAAGCTGACAATTCAAATGCTTGTATTTAATGCAAATCCGCACAAAGGCAATTATATTCCTTATAATTTCTTTGTCAGATGCATTTCTTTGTGTCAGCCCACCTGTCCTTCCCCCACTGCACACAGCCAGGTGATAATGGACTGTCCACTAATTGTTTCCTTTGTGTGTCTTGCAGGCGGACCAGTTGACTGAAGAGCAGATTGCAGGTAAGATTGGGTCTCAACAATGGCTTATCCCACAGGAAGGGCTTCCCAGTCACTGCTCCTAAAATGTACAGTGATTACATATGAAATTAAAAATGAAAAAACAAAATAAATTTAGCTTTCCACTTTGAAGTACAACCAATACCTTGATCCATTGGCACAAATTGTTTCATGGGTTACATTGCACAATGGATTAATTCCGCCACAGACAATGAGTGTACCATCTGTCACTATATCCCATGGTAGATTCCCATGTGTCTCTTATCATGGGGTGACTAGTATTCCTGCTATAGTTAATAGTGTTACAAGGGGTTTTATACAATGCTTCTTAGGGCATAACAAATGTTCACACAATGTGGTAAGATGGGCAACAATGTTACTTTATTCCTGATCATCAGAGTGAATGATATCAATACTTTTAAACAACAGTTACTAACATTTATGAACTCAGTTGTTCACTTGCACCAAGAGGACTTTTCATTGGATGTAACAATATAGTAAACTGGTGATCACCTTCCTGCAATTTCTCCATACCTATTGATTTAATGAGAGGTGCATGTGTTTTCACAAATTAAAATTAAATATTTGCTTGGGTTAATATCAGAAGCAGACAGTAGCATATGTATTCTTTCGAGGTTTTATGTAGTCTTTGCCTAATAGCTTACAGTAAAAATACACAGCATGGAAAATATTAAAATTTCACATTTGTTTTATGGATCTTATAAGTTAAGCACACTGGCAGTTCACATGTCTTTCCTTAATGTTTATAGTAGTGCATCTTAAACGCTCAGACCTTGCATCTTTTTCCTGCTCATTGTATACATGGAATAAAACAAATAATTGCGGCATCAGCATGTGGGATGAGGTCCCTAATGTGATGCACGTAACTTCAGCTAATTATATATCTTCATTAAAATATATGCATGTTAATGTTTTCGTCATGCATATTAAGGATGTTCAGTAGTTGGTTTTACATAAACATGGTTCAGTTTTTTGGATATTCATTTTACATCATTGAGCAAAAGATCTGTTTTTCACACCACCCCTCAACCAGGATCCAATAGATAAAACCAGTAAAACAAGGAACTTCAAAGCAGTTTTCCCGTGAGAAAATATCAGTATCACATACCTCATGTTATATAATATTCCCTTTAGTAATAAGCAGGAATGGTTTCATTATTATTTTTGTAATAGCTATCTAATGCTTTTTTGGGGGGGTAACACAATGGACATTTTGAAATACTATTGCATCAGTGTCAGCTGTTGTCCATGACAACCTCAACAGCAAGCCAGTTATTAATGTGAAGAACTAAATGAAACTAGCCACAGGTGGCCTGTGAACAATGATGTTTCCATGGCAACGGAACAGCTCAATCCCAAATAATCAAAGTCAGCTGAAATATGACTATCATTACCCATACAGACTGACTATGGATCTCAACTTGGGTCTCTCCACTGTCCATGTGGCCATGGTTGAAATTACAAGCACACCATGTGTAGTGACCCTGTTGAAGGCAGTTAGACAGACAGGGGTATATGGCCTTTACTTGTCTTCAGACAAATGGTTGTTTTAAATATTTTGGGAAGTTAACAGCCTTTGAATTTTGTTTATTATTATTTTATTTTATATTTTTATAGTCTGGTCCAAAGGACTAGAATGAACTATATTTCACAAGTCGCCAGACTTTTAGCTAAAATGAAGCATTTAGAACTAGACATGACGCCTACCGCCACCGAGTGCAAAGGCCAGGTTAATGTTCGAAGTGTTTGAATTTCTTCACTTTGACATTCAGAGCACTGGGCAGAAATCAGTTAAGTTAAGAGTGTTTATAATAAGCTATATTAAGTTTGTAAAGTGTTTGCCATTAACAGGAAAACGTCAGCTCTCAGGCTAGTGATAAGGAAAGTGTAAAACACAGATTGTTCCACAAAGGATACCAAAGCAGTTTGCCTCAGGAGAGTGGAATGGGCCCAGAAACTACAGATAACAGATTGTTAAACTGGAAATATCCACCCACTATCCCAAATCTGTACTTTACAGCCTTTTTAGATGGGAATATTTTCTTAATAGATTTTTAATGTAATTATGTCTGAAGGTCATGTTAAAAAAATCACTAAAATGCAAATTTGATTAGTATTGTACAAACGGCTTGTATTGGAGATTCACTGCAAGGACAAGCACAGACTTATACCTTTACGAGTCATTCGTTAGGATCTGGTGTCTGGTTTCAGGAGCAACACTCGGGTGATCTGCTTTATAGGGATTCACTGGAGTGTTTAATACCCACCACACATAATCTAACATAGACAGGCACTGTTGATGGGTCTTTGTCTCGGGTAGTCATAATCTGTGGCTCATCATACTGGTACCTTAAAGGATTTCAGTAGTTGATAGGACAAACAGGCCTAGCAGTTAACCTTACCGGAACATGTCAAACTATTGTTCTGGGAGACAAAGTACTGATTGCTGTGGCACTGTTGTTGCCTAGCAACCAGACACAACATTGATTGACGCATTGCATGTTCCCATTGTTTTAAAAGTAGCCGCCACAAATTGTTCGAAGTAGCAACATGTCATCGTTGTCGCATTCCTTGATTAGGTGTTGTACCTTCCTTGTAAAGAACTTGTGTGACAACTGTATATACGGCAGTGGTTACTGTAAAGATTTGATATTCTGGACAGGTAGTGCTGTAGTTTGCCATTTCAGGTTCACTGCTTCTAGAGTCTTACTATACAGAATCCCATAATCTGATGTAGTACCAGATAAAATAATTATTAAAATTTGGTTAGATTCAAGTACAGTGCCTTGAGGATTGTAATTTCCGTGAACATGATTATCAAAATAATAGCAGAAGAACTTGTCAATTTCAAGATAATCCCCATAATATCATGGGGAGATTAGGTGTAGCTTGTTCTATATTGATAACATAACCAATGAAGAGAAAGTGACTTTCAATTTAAATTTGAATGAAATGCAGACCAATAAGCAACCCCGTGATGCACAGACCAACAAGCAACCCCTCAAATTGCTAATAACTTCAATGCAACCCCAGGCAGATCACAAAGCAACTACAGACAACAGGACAACCTAACACAGACCACATACTAACCTCATGAAGACCCTAGACCACCCCCACCCAGCACAGACCACCCCACCCCAGCATGGACCCATGCAGTCCAGTGACCTGCCCCAGCAGACCACCTCCCCACCCTACCCAGACCACCAGCTGTGACATCAGTAAGATCGGCCCAGATAATGTCCACAGTGTTGAATAGTTTAGCCTGACTTGCCACAAGTGATGGCAGAAACTCAATACGGTAATATCACTTCCACAGGATAGGGTATGAATCATAATTGGTTAATCTGATATGTTGGGTTTGTGCTAGTTAACCATGTTCACTGATGAGGAATTTGGATGGCAGATGGCAACCAGTTTATACCTGCGTGTCTGGTTGTCAGAAGTTGCATTTTCTGGAGTATAGTAAGCACTTTTTCCAAAAAAACGTGTGTAGGGGTGCACATTATACACACTCCAATGAATTGTTTTCCGAATGCATTGCTGTGAGCACACAACACAGAAGGTGAGGTGAAATTGGGTTTTACGTCGTGCTTGAGAATATTTCGCTCATATGACGACGTGCATGCGTGTGTATGTGTATGTGCGGCTGCTTGTACTAGCCCAGACTGAAGCTGGTTTTATAGTGCCAGCCCTCTGAGATACCATGCCGCAGTGAAGCATGAATACCCCACTCAGACACATTATACTGACTCCGAGCCGACCAGTCCTTGTTGTACCCATTAATGCTGAGCGCCAGGCAGTTACCAACAAGTACCATATTTTAACGTCTTTTGGTTTGACGCGGTCGGGGCTCGAACCCGCGACCTTCCGCTCTCCGGGCGGACGCTCTAACCACTACACCAACGGAGGCGGTCACACAACACAGAAATGCTATGTCAAAAGATTTGGCATTTTATGGGCAAATTACTCAACAGTGGATATAAAAGTGTTTATTGTATACCTTGACAACTGTTTTTAACCAGTTTTATTTATCTTATTTAGAATTTCGTTCCATGTAGTCTGCATTAAATTCATTGTGCCATTATTCTTTCACAGTAGCCAAGGTCAGATTATTTCCATATATGTTTTGAAACAGCTTAAGTTCACAGAGAATGGCAGGGGCAGTGGGGTAGCCTAGTGGTTAAAGCATTCACTCGTCACGCCGAAGATCCGGGTTTGATTCCCCACATGGGTACAATGTGTGAAGCCCATTTCTGGTGTCCCCCGCCATGATATCGTTGGATTATTGCTAAAACCAACCTCACTCGCTCACTCACAGAGAATGGCTACATATGAGCATCATGAATGCCATACTGTGACTCAATTCAAGTCATATTTATCTCAGTTCGACTCTAATATGTCAACATGACCTTTCAGGATCCTCGAGTGCAGGATCCTCGACCATCTAACCATAGCAATCAGCTTATGCTACGCAGTATATTACTTGAAATATAACCATTAAAGCTTTTGACCAATATAATGTGATGTTGGTATACATTAATACTGATGAAATAATAGTTTCAGATAGAATTCATTGCATCACAATTGTTTGAAGTGACAAATGGTTATGTTTACTGATGTTTCATCACAAATTTCAAATTTTTTATTGTTCAAATTGAAATTGGGTGTACATAAAGCATGGGTACACACGTTGCTCAAGAAAATATTGCACATACAATTACTGCAAACTATGGTTAAGACACTCACAGGAACAGTTTTGGTAGTTTATTTTATATGTATATTGATTATATTTTATATGTATTTTGATTACATTTAAAAGGTACAGCATTTGGCAGGGGCAAGTATAAATATGTATAAGCCAGTTCACTATAAACATAGTTTACAGCAGATAAACTGAACATTTTTCAAAGTCAATGCTAAATCTCATTTACGTTGTATGTTATGAGTTACTGAGGTAAAAAATATGTGCCGCTTTAAACATA